CTATAACTTAATCATTGCATATTTATTTTTTCACTTTCTGTATCCTAATTGTAGGAATTCTTCAAGGCTCAGCTATTTGCTTCTGTACACCAAGGGTGTAAAACATCGAAAATCTGACTCTAACCTTAAATTCATTCAGATTGCAATGAGTTTTCTCAAATAAAATGTCTATAGAAAGTTCTTTCATAAGCTGTTAAAATCTATTTAAGTTTAAAGTTCTTGTGTTACCCCAATAGTGTTACTTATGAAATTCTGAACATTTATTACCTTAGTTTCAGTGTGAGAAGGACTGGATAATATTAATTTTGTAAATATAACTTAACACCCCCAATGTGGTGTACAGTCTCTATTCCCAGATCATGTAGAAACTAGTTAGTCAATCAGTCAATAAGAAATACCTGCTTACAAGGTACCAGGTGATGGGCTAAGCACTGGGAATACTAAAAAAGGCAAAAAACAGTCTCCGCCCTTTAGAAATATACGTTCTTAATGGTCAACAAGGCATATAGCAAAATATTTAGTCAAAAGAGAATAGCAAAAATGAGTGGGACTTCTGAAAGGCACCAGTTAGGAAACATTTTCCATTGAAATTCATGCAGCCCGTGGTGAAATTGAAGTTTCAGTGTTATCATTAAGATCTGCTGAGGCCTCACGGGTGCCTTAACTCTGGCTTTAGACTGAAGCTCCCTACACGTAGAATCCATCCTCTGGGGTTCCTTTCCCTCACACTTTCTGATATAGACACAGTAAGTGTGGGCAGCAATCCCAACATCCCTGGTTTTGCAAACTGCGTCCCACAGCATCAGGCTGTCTGCTGGTAGTACGTTTTGTGTTTTTTTTTTCACAGCCACCAAAAACTCGGTGGAGAGGGATTCTCTCTAGTCAATGACATCATCAGTCATCTTATCCATGTCTCTATGGCTCTATCCTTCAATAAAGTCCATATCTCCAATGTAATAGCTGAATCCAGTTACATCTCAAAAGGACTCTGATACCTTGAGGCTTTCCTCAGTGACTGGTTGATCCCCTGATATCATGGGCTATAACATTAGACAAGAGTCAGCCTGGGGAGACCCCATTACATCCTCCTGTCAGGAGGAGAAAAAAACTGTTGCCTCTGCAAATCTCACCAGACAGTTACATATGGAGGCACACATTATAAAACACCCAGTAATTTACAGATAGTCTAGCCATAGAAAATCATCTAAGATACAGAGGGTATATTATAAGACATCCCAGAATCACAAAATCTCATAGTTGGTAGGGAATACAGAGACTGTCTAGTTCAGATGACGCCTGAACAAGAATACCCTCATAACACAGGATCAAAGGGTCACAGGTTCACAGCCTGAAGAAACCTTAGAAGTCACTTTATTTAACCTATCATTTTACATATGAGGAAACTGAGGCCAGAAAAGGTTAAGATACTTGCCCAAGGTCACATTATAGAAATGGAACATATGTGATCTTCCAGCTTTTACTTGAAGGCCTGAGGGCCTTTAGGGAGTAGAAACCTACCACCTCCTAAGATATCCAATTGTACTTTTGAATCAGTTTGTTAGGAAGTCCTTCCTTATATCAAACTTAAACTTGTCATTTGCATCTTTCACTCCTTCTTATTTCTATCCTCTGATGACAAATAGAATAAGTCCATTCCTTTCCTCATTCCTTAATATTTGGGGGCAACTATTATATTATGGGTGCATGTGCACTCCCTTACCCTCCTCCCATAAGTCTTTGTTTCTCTCGGCTGGCTATTTTCAATACCTTCAATTGCTCCTTACATAGCATGACATGGAGGTCCTTCACTATCTTGGTAACTCTCCTCTGGTCATTTTCCCATTTCCCATTGCTTTGCCTAACTTTTGGCACCCATCACTGAACATAACATTCCAGATGTGGTTTGAACAAAGAAGGGTAGAGTAAGACATCACCTCCCCAGTCCTGGACACCCTGGAATGGTGGATAGAGCACCGGACATGAAGTCGAGAAAACCTAAGGTCAATTCCTCTCTTAGCTATTTATCTATATGACTTGGGGCAAGTTACTCCACATTTCTCAGCCTTATTTTCTCCATCTCTAAAATGGGGAGCTATTATTAAATAGCACCTACCTCTCATGACTTTAGTGAGGAGTAAGATAATCAATGTAAAGCATGTTGTGAGTCTTAAAGTGCCATATAAATATCAGCTAGCGTTGTTTTTGTACTTCATTCCTCTCTGGGCTTTATTTCTGACTATCTGGAGTAGGGACGTTTCTCCCTACCTCCTCTAGATTTTTATATTTTATCTTGCCTCATTAAGAAGTAAGCTGCTTGTGGGCAGAGACTGTCTTTTTGCTTGCATTTTTTAATATGCTGTTATTTTTTTGAGGGAGGGATTTTTGCCTCACTATAGTTTCCTCCAGTATCCTTTTCTCCCCCTTCCCAGAGATCTATGCCATATGATAAATAGCATTTTAAAAGACAAAAAGGAAAAGAAAAGAAAAGAAAAAGAAGAAGGAAAAATCAGCATAATTGATCATTACCTTGAAAAAGTTTGAAAATATGTGCACTATGCAACACTTACGGACCTCCAACTTCTGTGAAGGGGTGCAGGGAGAATATCTTCTTATACCTCTTCTTTTGAGCCATGCATGTTCTTTATAAATTTTTGTTTATGTGGTTTTTAGTTCAGTTTACGTTGTTGTAGTCATTATGTATATTGTTTTCTTAATTTTGTTTACTTCATTCTGTATCAGTTCACGTATCTCTCTCCATGCTTCTTTATATTTATCACATTCATCATTCCTTACAGTACAATAATATTCCATTATTATTTCACTAAAAGAAAATATATTTACTGTCCAAGCAAAACATACTGATCTCAAAGACAGGAAACATAAAGACAACCTAGGGATCATAGATCTCCCATAAGGACATGACATGATGAAAATCCTGAGCATCATAATGCAAAAAATAATACAAGAGAACTACCCAGAACTTCTGAACACAGAAAATGAAACACAAATTGAAATAACTAATGAACTGCTTCCAGAAAAATAAAACCAAGACTGTAAACTCCAAGACAAGTAGTGATTAAATTTAACAATTCAACCCAGAAATAACAAATTCTGCAAGCAATCAGGAGAAAGAACTTCAAAAACAAAGGAAAAGAAATTCATATAACACAAGGCAATTCTGAACCCAATAGAAAACACAGAATGGAATGCAATAATGTGTTCCAAAGATTAATAGAGCTCATGAAGCAACCCAGGCTGACCTACCCTCCAATTCTAAGCTTAACCACAAATGAAAAAAAAAAAGATATACATTCAACAACAAAGTGGTGTTTGAAACATTCATAGAAAAAAAGCAGAATTGAAGAGATCATTTGCTTCTTGAAAATCTTGGACAAGAGAAATGCAGGAGCTGATGAATAAAGGCATCAGTCAAAGATAGCAACCACAATAAAGTAACAGCAAAGACAAGTAACAGTCTTCTTTCTAAATATACACAAGGAGACAAGGGTGAAGGTAGACGTCTGGTGGATGTAACAGTAAAGAGGTCAGACTATGGCATTATGAACAGATCCTGACAACATTTTGCCTACAGGTGAATCAATGATTTGGTACTTGAGAAGACCACTCCTTCTACCTCAGGGGAAGAGGAGTTGGAACTGCTGAGAGCAACTAGCACCTGGGGAGTGGGAGGACAGGGACCCAGGGAGGAGATTTTGAGGAAAGGGGGGGAGGGAGGTGGTAACTAGAGGGAGAGTATAGAACAGTGGTGGGGTGCATAACCAGGGATGGGATGGGAGGAGCAGGACCTACCACAAGGCACTGATATGTTTGAAACCTGTAAGTACTGGCATCATTCTAAGAGTGAAGCATAATGGAAAAAGGGGGAATCCACAGAGCAAACAGTACAAGGCAGTGACAGAAACTTCCTAGAGGGGGTAATCCAGAATAGGTACCTTGGAAGTTTGTATTGCATGAGGAATATAGAGTAGAAAAAGAATAGAAAATTATCGGGTTCATGAATCTGAGAACAAAGGTCTAGAGTAATCAGGGAGGATGTAATGATAAGAGTCAGAGAAATTGTGTCTGGACAGAGGTGAAAAAAAATGAAATTTGAAACACTAATGAGCAAAACTAGATGAAGGAAAGAAGGGGAAATCTACTTGAATGAGAGTTAAAGGAGAGAGGAAAGACTTATATAGCCATATAAAAGCAAGACAGAGAAAGGAACCAATAAGCAAAATCTCAAAGGGGAAGGGGTAACAAATATAAGGGGGAATCAGAAGTGAGGAAAAGGGAGGAAAAAAGAACAAGTCCACCTTAAAAAAGATTAAACCTAAGTAACTGAAAAAAAACCCATAGTACTGTTTAGAGCAGAAGAGGAGAAAAATCATAACTTGGAAAAAAAGAGATAAATGGAGGAAAATATAAACCTAACTCTTATAATTTTAAATATAAATGGATTAACCAAACCAAGGAAATGAAAAAGAGTGATAGATTGGATAGGAAAACAAAATCTTATCATCTGTTGCTTACAAGATACCCATTTAAAAAACAAAGACAAAATAAAACTGAAGGAATTCATCAAGTGAGTTGGAAAAAAAAAGTAGGAGATATAATCATGTTACCTGACAATGCAAAAACAAACATTCAAAAATAGACATAAAAAAGGAAACTACATTATACTGAAAGGAATCATAAATAGCAAACTAATCCAGTGACTTCTTCCCCTCTGCACCATGCTATTCCTTAAGGAAGAAAGATGAAATATAAGGTATATTGTAAACTGACATACACAGAGAAAAGCAGCAATAAAAGAGACAGACCCATAATGTGCTACTTCAATCAGCTACTAGCAATAGGCAGTTACTGATACTTTAATATAAATGTTTTACATTTTGGCTCCCGAGTAACTTGTTGGAAGATTCCACTGGGATTTTTTTAACTGTTAATGTTTATGTCCTGATATGAATTGCTCCCACCAGAACCTGTCCTGGAAACATCTACTTCTTCAAGAGATGATGTAACCATTTTACTGCATCTCTCAAGACCTCTAAGAACTGATCATTCCTCAGAGTAAAGATGAAGGGGTTCAGCAATGGAGTCACCACTGATGTCATTAGAGAAATCATTTTGTTAGACTCAGTGGCATCAGACTGCTTATTCACATAGAGAAACAGGCAGGTCCCATAGCCTATCACTACCATGGTGAAGTGGGAGGCACAGGTAGAAAAGGCCTTCCTCCGACCAGAAGCAGAAGGAATCCTCGGAATGGTACAAATGATGTAGATGTAGGAGATGATGGTTGGGAGCAAAGTGCCAAAAAGAATGAAAGCTGCCATCAGGAAGAGGATGAACTGCTGAAATCTGCTGTCACCACAAGTGAGTCTGAGCAGCTGGCCTCTCTCACAGAAAAAATGATTCAGGACATTTGGCCCACAGAAGTAAAGATGGTCTGTTGCAACGATTGGCCAGATTTGGAACAGAAACCCAAATACCCAGAACACAATGACCACCCAGAGGCAGACTTGGTGATTCATGATGAGACTATACCTCAAGGGGTTACAGATAGCTACATATCGGTCTGCAGCCATTACTGCCAACAACACAAACTCTGAAGTCCCCACAGAAAGTAAGAAGAAGAGTTGAGCCATACATGCACCAAAGGACATTGTCTGAATTTGGACAGTCAGCAAACCTCCTGGCATAGTAGGGATAACAATAGTTGTGGTTAAAATCTCCATAGCAGAGATGTTACCAAGGAAGAAATACATGGGAGAGTGGAGACGATAATCCATACATACCATAACAATAATGAGTGAATTTCCAATAAATGTCACCATGTAAAGAAGGAAGAATATGGAAAAGAGCATGTGGTGGAAATCTTGCGAGCCAGAAAATCCAAGCAGTTTCAATTCCAGAATTCCTGAGTGGTTGCCAAACATTCCACTGTCTGTTGCAGAGGTTACTGAAAAGTAAAGAAAGGTTAGTTTGTTCACATTGGTGAAAAGAATAATAGATTTAGCCATTAGACCAGAATTTGAGCCCTACCTTTAACTCCTGTCAGTGATGAGCCTTTGGACTTTACCTCTCTTAAGTTTCAATTTTCTCACCTGCAAAATGGGAAAATAATACTTGCCCTTTTTCACTGAAGTCCAATTCATTACAGCATGAAAGTGTCACTGGTTTCTTGAAGTTTAAATGCTCTGATATCCTGGTAAAAAGTGTCCTTTTTAGGCAATACTAGCAGAGTTCAGAAGCAATTGATCCACCTGGTTATAGATGTGCAGGAGAAGAACAGATGCAGTATGATGGAGGAAGGGGAATAGCCTTAGTTCTGCTGGCAGGAGATTTGGGTTCTAGGCTTGGTTTTATCATTAACTCATATTGTTGTTTTGGACTATCCAGGTCCTTTCTCTGGACCTTAATTTCTTTCTCTGTGAAACAGAGGTAGGGAAAGGAGTCAGTTTAAATTAATTTTAAATTTCCTTCTAGATCTGAAATTATGCTTTTCTTTCTCCTTTTTCCTTCCCCCCTTCACTAGTGTTTTGCTTTTGACCACCTCCTCCTTCAGTCCCCTCCCCCTTTTATTATCCCTTTCCCTTTTCTTCCCCTTTAGTCTTACTGCTTCTTCCCTCCCTTCTTTCCCCCCTCCCTTTTCTTTCCCCTTTTCCCTCCTACTGCCTGTTGGGCAAGTAAGATTTCTATACCTCACTGATTATATTATGCCCTTCTTGAGCCAAATCTGATGAGAGTAAGATTCAAACAATGCTCCCCCCCCCCTTCTTTCCCTCTGCTGTAACAGGACTTTGTGTCTTTTCCTGTAATGTAATTTACCCTTGTCTGACCCCTCCTTTCTCAGTACATTTTCTAAGATCAGATTGATCCACTTATTTGGATCCATTTAACCCACTTGATTAGATTTTTTTTTATCATTACATCAAAGTCAACTAATATCCACCCTCTTTATGTATACTCCTTTAACAAGGTGTAATACCAATACAGTTCTCAAGGGCTGCAAGTCTCATATTCCCTTGTAAGGGTTTAAACAGCCCCCCCCTTATTAACAACATATTGTATCCTTCTGTCCCATTTACCTTTTTAAGTCCTTCTTGAGTCCTGTACTTGAAGATCAATTTTTTTGTTGAGCTCTGGTCTTTTTATCAGGAAAGTTTGGAAGTCTCCTATTTGTTGAATATCCACCTCCTCCCTTGAAAAATGATGCTCATTTTTGCTGGGTAATTGATCCTTGGCTGCATTCCAAGCTCCTTTGCCTTAGGAATATCATGTTCCATGCCCTGCGTCTTTTAATGTAGAAGCTGCAAGGTCCTGTGTAATCCTGACTGTGGTTCCATGATATTTAAATTCTTTCTTTCTGGCTGCTTGCAGCACCTTCTCTTTCATCTGGTAATTTTGGAATTTTGCTATTATATTCTTGGTGTTGTCAATTTGGGATCTCTTTCAGGTGGTGATGGTGGATTCTTTCTATGGTTATTTTCCCTTCTGGTTCTAGGACTTCTGGGCAGTTTTCCTTTATGATTTCCTGAAAGATACTGTCCAGGCTCTTTTTTTCATCATGATTTTCAGGTAGTCCAATAATTTTTAAATTGTCTCTCCTGAGTTGATTTTCCAGGTAGGTTGCTTTACTGATGAGGTATTTTACATTTTCATCTATTTTTTTTTCATTTTTTTGTTTCTGTTTGACTGATTCTTGCTCTCTCATAGAGACATTAGTTTCCATTTGTCCAATTCTAGTTTTTAACAGATTGTTTTCTTCTGTTAGTTTTTGTACTTCCTTCTTCAACTGGCCAATTGTGTTTTTTAGGGACTTGTTTCCTTCAGTATACTCTTCTGTTAGTTTTTGTACTTCCTTCTTCAATTGGCCAATTTGTTTTTTAGGGCTTGTTTTCTTCAGTGTACTCTTCTGTCTTCTTCAATTGGCCAATTGTGTTTTTTAGGGACTTGTTTTCTTCAGTGTATTTTTTTTCCAACTGGCCAATTGTATTTTTGAAGGACTCTTTACCTCTCTCATTTGACTATTAAAATCCTTCTTGAGCTCTTCTAAGAAGGCTTTTTGGGCTTCAGACCAGTTCATATTCCCTTTTGTTGTTGCAGATGTGGGTTTGTTGACAATGTTGTCCTCTTCAGAATTTCTGTCTTCATCTTCACTCTTCTCATAATATGAATCTATGGTACGTTTTTTTTACTCATGGTGTTTTTTATTCCCTGGCCTTTAAAGAGATTGAGCTCTCCTGCTGGGGAACAGAGGGTACTGACCCAAGCTTCTTGTGTTGGGAGCCTAGGTCTTGGTCACTGGCTTTGTGTGCTGGGGCCTCTTATGCTGGAATTGGAGGCTGTAGGTTTCTGGCAGCTTACCTGTGTTGGGCTGGAATCAGGAGGGCTGGAACTTTCAGGCAATTCTTGGTTGACTGCTTTCCCTTTCCTTTAGCTTTCTTCAGCTCCTTTTAGATGGGTGCTGCAGGATGTTTATCTGCCTGGAGCCCCCTGCAGTGTTGTCTCCCTCGTTTCTGCTAATGCACAGGGAGATTCCTTTGGTAGTGCCAGGACCTGGTGGCTTTCTGAGCTGGTTTCCACCGGTTCCCCCAGCCTTCACTGAGGCACTCAGAGGTTCAGGTGTTGGTGTTTGCCTGCTCTACCACCTGGGCTTCAGGATTTCTTCACAATTGGAGGCTCACCTATTGTTGGGTTGGAATCAGCAAGGCCAGGGCTTTAGGAAGCCTTTAGCTTGTTTTCTTCACCTCCTTTCAGATGAATGCCGCAGGGTACTTATCCGCCTGGGGCCCCTTGTAGTTCTGCTTCCCTTATTTTTGCTGAGGCACTGGGAGACCCATTTGCTGGGCTGCTGCACTGCTGCTCCCCGTCTTTTTTCTAGTTCAGGTGTTCCAGGGTTTATTTTCTGGGGTGATATTTTCTGGGTTTTCAGAGGTTGATAGGAGAGAGTGAGAGCGACTACCTTTTCACTCCACCATCTTGGCTCCCGGAAGCACCACATTTTTTTTCACAGTACAATAATGTTACATTGTATTCATGTATCACAACTTGTTTTTTTATTGTTGTTCAGTCATTTTTCAGTCATGTACAACTCTTTGTGACCCCATTTGGGGTTTTCTTGCTAAAGACACTAAAATGGTTTGCCATTTCCTTCTTCAGCTCATTTTACAGATGAGGAACTGAGACAAACAGAGTTAAGTGACTTGCCTAGGATCACAGAGTTAGCAAGTGTCTGAGACTGGATTTGAACTAAGGAAGATGAGTCTTCCTGATTTCAGGCCCAGTGCTCTATCCGCTGTGCCACCTAGCTGCCCCACAACTTGTTTAGCTATTCCCCAATTGATGGGCATCTACTTTGTTTCTAATTCTTAGTTATCACAAAAGTTGCTGCTATAAATATCTTGTAATACATAGGGATTTTCTTCTTATTTATGTTCTCCTTGGGGTATAAGCCCAGTACTAGTCTTTGGTTCAAAGGATAATGGACATTCTAGTCATTTGATTTGCATAATTTCAATTTGCTTTCCAATATGGTTGTACAATTTCACTGCCCCACCAACAATGTGTTGGTATGCCTGTCCTTCCACAACCCCCCCAAAATTTACAATTCACATTTTTTGTCATTTTTGCCAATTCACAGGGTGTAAAGTGAAAACTCAGGCTTGTTTTGATTTTCATTTCTCATTTAGCACATTCTTTCACATGGTTGTGAATACTTTATGATTCTTTTAGGAACTGTTTGTTCATATCCTTTGACCTTTTATCTATGGGTAAATGGCTAATATACATACATGTGTGTATACACGCATATGTACATATGTAATGTGTGTACGTATACATATATATAATTTGTACATCTTAGATACTAAACCTTATCAGAGAAATTTGATACAAAGATTTTTCCCATTGATTACTTTCTTTCTTATTCTATATGTGTTAATGATGTTTGTGCAGAAGCTTTTCAGTTTCAAGAAATCACAGCTATCTATTTTATCTTTTGTAATTGCCTCTTCTTCCTATTTGGTTAAAATTATATCTCTACATAGCTATGAGAGGTATATGATCTGTTTCTTTTCCATTTTTTAACAGTATGATCTTTAATATCAAAGTTGTATATCTGTTTAAAATGTATTGCAAAATATGGTGTAAAGTCTTAGTCTAAGCCTAATTTCTGCTAGACTGCTTCCCAGATCTTTTGTTCGTGGCCCCTGATCCAATTGCTGTTTTTATTGCATTACATCTTACAAAAGATGTATTAACTACTTCTGACTTTTTACATTTGTTTGCAATATTTCTGTGTTCTAGTATGTAGTCAATTTTTGTAAAAATTTAATATAGTGCTGAGAAAAAAAAAATATATATATATGCATTCAATTTAAAATGCCATCAGTCTTTTAGTTCTAGTTTCTCCAGCAATTTGTTTGGTTCCATATTTTCCCTTTTGTTTAACTTCCTAAAGTATATTGACATCTTCTGTCACTACTGTGTTACTTTCTACGTCTTCTTGTAGCTCAGATAATTCTTCCTATATGAATTTGGAATAAGGTTTTGGAGCACATGATTACTAATATTTGTTTGTCTATGATTCCCTGAAACCTAATATTGTTTCCTTGTTTATCCTATTTTATTTTTTGAATGTTTCTTTTTATTTGTTAAATAGTATGATTGCCACTCCTGCTTTTTTATTTCCTTTGTGCAGAGTAAATGTTTTCTACCCTATTAGTTTTATTTTGTGTATGTCTTTTTGTTTCAAATGTGTAAATGTCTTAAATGTTGTAAGCAACAAATTGTAAGGTTTTATTTTCTTATCCACCTCACTCTTTTTCACTTTATTGTATTGTTTAATCCATTCATATTTAAAGCTATGAGTTAAGTTTATATTTTTCTACATCTCTAATAATTTCTCAGGTTATTATTTTTCTGAATAATCTAA